ATACTACTTTGGACGATTGAACAGTTTTAATACGGAAAGATAGGATTAGATGAAATTTTCATCGGGGTGGGACACCGCATGTATCGTAAGTTAAGCTAATTTTGTGATCATTTTTCAGTGACTTCAAATAAATTTTTATTTAAATAACCATTTGCACATTCTGTTTATTATATCTTCTTGCAGTAGGTGTATTCCCTGCTTCAATAATTCATTCAAACCCTAAACAAACTGTTCCTAAATAGAGGTAGGGTCGAAATTCCACAAAAAAGGACGCCATTTTGAGGGTAATTTCGATATATTTTCTGCTTTTTCTCTTTTTTTTTGCTTTTATAACAACATCCTCCTTGCTCATGCAGCTTCTTTGATTTGTTATTGAAACATACACAACGATGTCATGAGAATTTGGTCGGCTATCTAAATTTAAATTACATTCTTGTTATGGTCCCCCCGCAGTGCACCACTAGCAAAGAATGACTGATATATATTCACACACACAAAGTTTGTGGTATGATACTGTGTTGGACTGTGTCATAATTTTTGTGTCTTAGGTATTAATACATTTATGTGTTGTACAACACTTCAGGCCATATGAAATAATTAGCTATACGTAAATCCAATGTTACAAGGTTCCCCAAGTATAGCAACAATCTGTACTGGCAAACCATACCATTTGTAACAATGTGGCAAAGCCAGTTAACTCCTTCAATCTAAAAGTGTACACAAAGGGTCATTCAGAAAAGATGATCCATACTAACTGACAAGTGCCGTCGCTGCAAGAGCCTAGCAATTAAACCTAAGAGCTGAGATTTAATCCATTTAATGACGCATGTGGAGGTGGGGAAACCATCGGGAATTAGCAGTATCGCATTTGAACAGGGTTCCGTTCAAGTCAGCAGATCAGTTAGCACTTGGATCATCTATTCTGAATGGCCCCTAAGTCTGTGCATGTGGGCCTGTGTGTCTCTGGATGACAGTGACAGTGGGTGGCACTGGGTGCTCATCAGCAAGATAAGAAAAAATGAAGGGAACATTGTATCTGTCCTACCATCGCCCTTTCTCTTTCCATGTCCCACCATGGCTGCCAGACATTCATAATGAAACTCCACTTTAGGCACTTCTTTGTGCAGCAACTGACAGCAGGTGTGGACAGGGGTGCAACCAGAGAGATTCTTCACCAGTAAAGCACTCTCCATAGGTGGGACCAGTTTCTGAAACTTCTGCAGAGCCTCTTTAGGACACGTCTCCTGCAGGCAGTAGATGGCCCTGTGCAGTCCCGTATCACCTTCAGTGGTTTGCTGTGTTGGCTTGAAATCCTCTTCTATTAACCAAAGAACGGCAAACACCCTTCCTGAAATATGTGCATTGTTTAACGAACTAAGGCCTCATTCACATCGAGTTGAACCATGACTCTACAAAGCCACAACCTAAATATGGCGGATGTACATGAAAGGAAAACCACCTAATCTTTTAATAGTCTCTCCACCTCTCACACGCCTCCCCATGCGTCGTCCCTGCGGGGGTACATTCATTAAATCTCAGCTCCATTGCGACGACACATGGGGAGGCGTGTGAGAGGCGGAGAGACTATTAAAAGTTTAGGCGGTTTTCCTTTCATGTACGTCTGCCAGGTCGTGGCTTTGTAGAACCATGGGTCAACTCGATGTGAATGCGGCCTAATACTCCAACTATAATCATAAGGGGGCATTCAGAACAAGATGATCCGTGGACTAACAGATCTGCAGATCAAACATGGCTGACCCACTTGATAGCTTGTAATATAATCCCCTAATGGACACTGACTAGATTACCCACAAGGATTATGCAATAAGCTTTCAAGTGGGTCGGCCATATTTGACACAAGGATCTGTTAGTCTGCGGCTCAACTTTGGTTGTGAACACTGCCTAAGACACATCAAGATGTAAACTTCACAGTACACTCTGAGGGGTCCTGACATGTAGAAATGCTCCAGGACAGGAAGTTTTACTACCTTTCACAATTGCTACACAAGATAACTTCCCGCTCCTTAATGTTAAGTTAATCTAACAGCCATGTCCAGCACAAAGCCTCCTTTTATGTGATAGCCAGGTTATAAATTGTCAATTTCTCTAAGTGGATTGGTCTAGTTAATCAACCCCTAAATGTAAAGAGACCTACCTAAGATAACACTGTAATTTTTGTTCTTTCCCAGGCAGGGATGAGTTTGAGGGATAAATGAAATGGTTTACATTCAGTGATCATAGATTATCATTATATTTAAAATAAAAAATAAAAATATCCTACCTAATGCACATGCCCAGTGTATCATAGGAAACTGATATGCTTCATTGGGATCAGGGATAACACCTTCTTTCTTCCATTTTCCATCCTAAAATTCAACTTCCTTTTAAAACATCGTAATTTCTAATGACTGAAAATCAGGAAGTTACTATTAGAACATTCAGAAACAAGGCACAACATTTAAATAAAGACTGGTCCAGCCAAGGGACATTTTAATCTAACAACAGAGTTGCCAACTCTACGCATTAACACATATTCTTTCACTTTGTATTATTCATGACATTCATGTTATGCTATTGTTGATAAGAAATAAGGCAACAGATGTACAAATTCTGAGTGCTGACATGTTGGCAACTTTGTAACCAGTCCACATTTACCTTTGTGTAGTCATTGATACAGTCTTGCAAGTCTTGTAACAAGGATTCCATCATTTCCTGGTCTTCCTCTGTGTCTATACAGTTGACAACAGCCAGGAGTAGTGGATGATGTCTCACTGTACAGCTACTCTTACAATATGGAGGACATCTCAACAAACCCGAGGAACCTTAAAATAATAATAATCATAGATGGGACTTGAATGCATTATTTTCTATGTGAAATAAAAAGCTAGTAGTTGCTCAAGATATTTTCTTTTATTCTAAATCATGTAACAGCAACAGGTTACCTAGCTGTCATCTTACAAAGCGGAACAAGTTTTAAAATACTAAGGCTTGGGTTCTTTACCAATAAATCACCCTCTTTCTCTTTCAAAATACAATATGATTCATTACCCATTTGCACATGATAAAATAACTGAAAATTAAGGGTAGTTGAGACTACGGTGTAACTGTATTAATGCCACCATCACTTGCACTAGCCCTGATTGATCTTGGCTGAGATTTCATGATTGCAACTGGATGTGACAAACATAGACGGACATTCGGAGAACCACCCAGTGCATTAATATCTATTCTAGGAATACTTGTGATGCTCAGCTAGTTCTATGATTAAGGCAGGTGTACTACTGGATAATGTATGTATCAAAGGATGCATTTTTAGAATAATTACATCCTGTGTACGGTACTCACCGGCCATGCTTGTGCTATATTTGGAAACAAAAAGGGGTCACGTAAAACGGCTGTCGTTATAGAAAAATAGTTTGGTGTGACGATGTGTATTGAGGCTACATTACAATATGATTTCAGCATAGTCGAAACATGTGTTTTATTTTTCTATTTACATGCCTAAATATCTTATGTTTTGACTTGCTGTAAAGTACACCGGCATTATTTGGTGACGACAATAAGAAGCAGTTCGTGGCGCAGAAGGATGGAGGTGAAATATCTTCTGCTGTGCATTTGGGGCTTACAAACGATTTCGACATCGTTGGCGTACATAGAAGGACTATACTGCGGTTTGGAGAACTGCTATGATGGTAAAACCCCCTGCTCCTCCCCTCTCTCTCTCTTTCTCTCTCTTTCATCACACACACATACTATACATACACACACTGTAATTAACAATGGTGTATTCGCTTATACAGGTACATTAAACTAATTCAAGAATTTTATTTCTTTTCAGTTCTTGATGTTGACAGAGATGCAACGAAAGTAAGTTGTAGTTGTATAGATTATTCTCATAACAACAGGCACATTGTTAAATTGATATTAAATTGGATTTTTAAATATATCAACAGTTGTGGATCATGTTTTCTGCTAAGTTCCAATATTTATGACAGAGGTATTGACTTCTGTTATGTTCTATTTCAGGGTGACATCAGTAAGGCTTACAGGCGACTGGCCAGGAAGTGGCACCCTGACATGCACAAAAGCAGTGTAAGTTACTGTACCTGGGTTGTCAACTACCATGACTCACTATACCTATGAACACAACAGTATTACTTATCAGTCATTTGGGTAGTCATAGTTACGCAAAATTAATCAGAACTATTGAATATTAACATTTGGACACATCATAAATGAAAAATACATGAAAAAAATGTAAGTTGGTTAGAAAATTAACCTATGCTTCTTTCAGAAAAAAAAAAGAAAGGATGAAAAAAAATTACTCGTATAACACCTAACTAGTGTTATACCAAACAATAATCAACCTGTAGTTTTGGATATATCAGAGTGTTTTGTAATCTTGTCATTAGTACTTTTTTTTTTCACTACCTTTTTAATTTCATTGCTCTGGTAGTTAAAGGATTTTTTTTCTTTTTGCATTGGTGGAATACATAAATCTCTTTGTAGGGCATAATATGTGATAATATTGTTCAATGGGCTTCATTTCAGAAAGCAAAGGAGAAGGCTACACTGCAATTTCAGAAAATTGCAAATGCTTATGAGGTAAGGTTTTTACAGACTTTTTCAAAGGCTTGGATGTTGAAAATGAAATAGATTTTAACATATACGTTGCACCCTTTTGCAATTGATCAGTTTCTTTTTGCAAGATTCATAATATAACATTAATTTATCTTCACAATGATAAAGGTTTCAAGTTCTGAATGACATCACTGTGGTAATGAAATAGTTCCAGACTAATTGTTAGTCCTAACATCTGGTCCCAATGAGAGCTGATACTTATTCATTTTAGGCATCTTTACTTGTTTATCATATAGTATTTTGTTTATTTTTAACATTAATCAGTTGACCTTGTACATTAATACTTATTTCAGATTTTGACAGATGAAGAGCAAAGGAAGGACTATGATCATATGTTGGATAATCCAGGTACTTAAGGAACATCACTCTCAAAATGTATAAAGATTTTTTTAGGTGTTGCTCTACAGCTTGTATTCACACTCTCTTTAAAGTG